TTTTTTTTTTATAAATCAGAAAGTGCTCGAGGTTCAAAGGTTGACATTTCTGAGTGCTGATAATTTGTCCTTTCATAGTATGCAAACAGGTCTAACATTTAGAAATCCTTACACATTCAAGGGAACTTGTGGAAATTCCCAGAGATTGTGTGTGTGTGTGTGTGTGTGTGTGTGTGTGTGTGTGTGTGTTTTCTTAGTGAGAGGCAGCCAAGTATTTTAAGGTATGAGGCTTACAGTAATCAACTGAGGAAGACAGGAGAGTCTGAGAAAACGTGCCCCCCACCCAACCTCAACAGCAAACGTTGACTGCTAGCTAGCTGCAATGAACCAGTGGGGAGCCCCGACGAGCAAGGGTCTCGGTGAGAGGGCGCTATTTCTCCCACCCTGGGTAAAACACGTAGAGCATCACCCGGAAAGCCAGGCTTTCTAAAGGTCACATTCCTTGAATCATCTTAAGTCTCTAAATCGTACTAGCCTTCTAGAAACTAATAAACCCTACCAGCAGGATTGTCTAGAAGACAAACATCCCTTGAGCGGTTCCCAGCCACTCGCGCTCATTTCAGAAAGATAGAGGCGCTCTGGGGCGGGTATCCACTCCCGCTGCAATCCCTTCCTAGATGATACTACCCAGTAGTTCCAAGCAGTCTTTCTTCCCCGCCCATTAGCTTTGGAAAGAACCTCGCTTTCCTGTCGCTTCTCCGAGGCAAAGCAGCACACAACGATAGTTCCGCTCCATCTGTCCGCTGTCTGCAGCGACTCGGATACAATCTTCCTAGTATCTTAACCTGGGACTTTTGAGGGGGAGTGGACAACCAATTAGGGTATTAGAGAAAGGATGGATTAGACTCCCGACTGTGGGTGAAAAGGGCTGTGTGCGCGCCCCAGGAGTGTGGGTCCTCCTCTGCAATTCAAAAGGGGGATCTCTCCTGTGTGCGGGTTTTTTGGACCAACTCCAGATGTCCCCCAGCAGTTCTGAAACAGCAAAAAGTGCAATTTAGATCTGAAGTCTGGAACCGTTTTGGCTCTTCCAAGCAAAAGATCTCCCTCTCTCTAGCCGACGCTCCCCACTCAGTTCATCCCGGGAATGGGCCAGGGAGGAGGGTTCTCTTGCAGCGCCCCGAGCTGCCAGGCGAGCTTCGGGCTCCTTAAATTCACAGGCCAACAGCCCGCGTCCTCTCCGCCCAGGCTCCCGGGCTCCCGCGGTCCCCGGCCCAGCTCCTTGGCCTCCTCCTCGTCCGTCCGCCCCTGGAGGTCTTGGCGCTCGCTCGTCCAGCCCTGCGCGCCTGGCACCGCTGGCTGCCCAGGGCCGTCCGCACGCCCTCAAGGACCTCGGCTCCCGGATCCGCGCGCGGGCTGGAGCCGGCAGGGCCAGGAGGGAGCAAGCGGATCCGCCCACGCCCCCGGCCCGGGGATGGCGCAGCGGGGCCCGGGCTCCGGGGTGTGGCTCGGCAGAGCTCCGGACCGCTCCGGGGCGGCAGCGCGGGAGGGGGGAGCTCCGCCACTCGCCGCGCGTTCCCGGCTCGGGGCTCCCCTCCACGCGCTCGGGCTGCGCGGGGTCCGCTCGGGCCGCCCGTCGCCGCCCCCGCCCCCGGCGCGCCCGCCCGCGCCCTTGCTCGCCCCGCGCGCGTTCCTAGGGCGCCACCTCTTTGCGACTCGCTCACTTCTCCGGCAGGTTTGTCTCGGAGCGTGTGAACATTCCTCCGCTCGGCTTTCAACTCGCCTCCAACCTGCGCCGCCCGGCCAGCATGTCTCCCCGCCTGTGAAGCGGGGCTGCCGCCGCCCTGCCGCTCCGGCTGCCGCTAACGACCCGCCCTCGCCGCCACCTGGCCCTCCTGATCGACGACACACGCACTTGAAACTTGTTCTCAGGGTGTGTGGAATCAACTTTCCGGAAGCAACCAGCCCACCAGAGGAGGTAGACAGCTATGTATATATATGTGGGTTTCGCTACAAATGGTCCTGGAACACAAGGGCCTGGTTCGCAAAGAAGCTGACTTCAGAGGGGGAAACTTTATTCTTTTAGGAGGCGGTTAGCCCTGTTCCACGAACCCAGGAGAACTGCTGGCCAGATTAATTAGACATTGCTATGGGAGACGCGTAAACACACTACTTATCATTGATGCATATATAAAACCATTTCATTTTCGCCATTATTTCAGAGGAAGCGCCTCTAATTTATTTTTTTCCCTTTTTGCTCTTTCTGCCTGTGTGGTTTGGAGAAAGCACAGTTGGAGTAGCCGGTTGCTAAATAAGTAAGTGCTGAGAGGCTCCAGAGAATTTTTCTTTGCAACTTGGGGGATGCCCTTGAAGAGGCTGTTTGAGAGCGGGCTAAAAAGGGGAGCGGAGTAGTGCAGGGAGATGGAGAGTCCGTATTGACACTCGGGTCGCTTTCCCTTCTTTTGCAGATCCCGAGCGCGAGAGGAGACGATGCAGCGGAGACTGGTTCAGCAGTGGAGCGTCGCGGTGTTCCTGCTCAGCTATGCGGTGCCCTCCTGCGGGCGCTCGGTGGAGGGGCTCAGCCGCCGCCTGTAAGTGCCCCATCCTCCCCAAGGCGCCAGGTTGGGGAGGCCAGGGGGAGAAGCTGCCAAGCTGGGACGCTGCCGAGGGCTTGCAGCGGTCACCGATGCTCCTCGCGCGGGTTAGGGAGAGGGGCCGTCCCGGATACCTGCAGGGGCCTGAGCCCGGTCCTCAAACCCGGCAGGGAAACTGGCTGATCTTCAGGGGGAGACAGACAAGAGACAGATTTTTATGTGTGTTTCCATAAGAGGGAGTGTTTCACAGAATCTCCTCTAGGATCTAGGGAAAGATCCTCTGCCTCTAGTGGAAAAAAAGTTGGGGGGAGGGGGGTAGGTGTACTTTCAGGACCCAGGAAGCTTCTGAAACTCGGAGGAAGCTGAGCGGTCCTGGGGACCTGTGGTATGCATGCTTGCATACAGACTGAATGTGGGTGGCGGTTTGCGTGTGAAAAATCAAAAGCCGTACACCTAATTTTACTATGAATGACATAATTTTAAGCATATAAAATAGGACCATATTACATAATGAAGCATATTATATAATAAAGTAGTAACAACTTTGCAGTGGCAAGACTCCAATGTTAGTATTGATACAGTTCAGGAACGCTGGAGTGCTTGATTCCAAAATGAATTTTAGGTGTGGAAACTTTTTTCTTAGAATTATTGCTAACAGTTCTTTATTCTGGCGTCAAATATTTGCACTGTACACTAAAAACTTGTATTTTGGCGTTCTCACTTGGTGATTGTTTTAATGATAACTTCGACTTCGAAATAATCATACATCCAAGCACACCAGAGAAATATCACTATGTCGTGTGACTGAAAACTTGGAAGAGTGATACAGTAACATGATCTTAATCATCTGTTGGACCTAGCAGTTCACTAATATGTATAACACCATCTTTGGGTGATGTTTAAACTGCAGACTCAGTGTTCAGAATGGGAAAACTATAAAGTTCGAGAACTGAGAAGAGTTTGACTCTGGAGAAGGAATTAAGGAGAATTTTTACCCTAACAATAAAAATAGCAGTATCTAATATTTACAGTCAGGTTTATGGTGCGTCCTTGTAAATTCCCGAGGGTGTACAAAAAGGCAACTGTTTTATACGTGCTCGTGGTCTATTATTATTAGAGGAGAAAATCCTTAAATGAAATTACTTTAGACATGTCTGAACCTTGGCACCAAAATGAAAATCTATTATGAATCTCCTAAGGCAAATTGTGTAGAACATTATACTGAAGATAAAGCTGCATTGTATTCTTCAGATCAACGTTTTACCAATGTATTTCTGAAAATTGTCTTCAGACTTTTTGCCTACTTTGAGACTTGTGTTAAATTTAATAATTTACAATTCATATATAAATAGAAATGAAGACTGAATTTTTAAAAACACACTTAAATACTGTATTTATTTGGCTAAGAAATACTACCTTGGAATGGAGCCAGTTTTTTCTATAAAGTTGCTTAATACCTGTTTTCTCTTTTGAGAAACAGCAAATGAGCCATGATTATATCCACAACTATGGCATAAAAATACTGCTAAGTTGTCCTAAAGGCTATTTTTAACTCTTTCTTTGTTACACCTTACAAAACACACATCAGAAACCATTTAGCAGCCAGCAACTGTTATAGTTTTGTTTGTGGGTGAAATATAATATTGTAGTTAAACACTCACATTCAGCAGATGGTTATAAAACTACCACAAAAACATTCTCATAGTTAATGGGTAATAGATCATCACATTACAGGCATGGTTTTTCATGGAGGCTGAAATCATCAGTAGATGAAGATGTTTCATCAAATTATTATAGCCAAATGGAGTTTTTAAAAACAAGTCATTATTTTTGCCTTGCTGCCAAGTGACAGTAAATTTTGTGTGCTAGACAAAACATAAGTATATCATTATGCTAAATCAAGCTAGTTTCTTGAAAGAAATTTTAACATATAATCAAACCATATTACTCTCCAGTTTTCACACCCAGTGTTAGGGAAACTGCTTTAGAAGTATAGATTTGTTTTTAACTAGACGCTAACTTTTAAGGAGGAGGAAATTACTATAACAATAAGACTTCCTAAGCCATGCAAAGGAGGCAGTTATTATTATTGTTGTTATTACTATTATTGTAATATGGCAGTTAATAAATTTTGAGTCCTTTGGACAGGTTCATCTCAAGGATTTTAATTAATGGAGCTAGAGCATGATCAAGCTGGATATTAGAAAGTGAGGTGTATGGATGTTCTTGTGCAGATGAACAAGGCTTTTGGCAGGTGGCTATCTCCATGTTTAAGTTAGAGAGGGAACTCCAGCAGATTCAGAAAACTAAAACATTATTGGCTGATTTGCTTGGGAGCCAGACCGGGTCTATTCCACTTAATGAAAAGCATAACTTTCTACTGAGTCATTTGGGTTGGAAGGACCTTCTGGTGAGTCATCTTAACTCTAACACTCTAACCCTGTCTCTTGCATGTACCACAGAACTTTTCTTCTCAAATACAGAGTCCTTACTTAGGAGCCTAGCATCGGTACAAGCATGCTGTTTCTTCCTGTGCTGGAAAGGGAATTTCCATCACTGTTTTTATGCCCTCTGTTCCTTGATAGTTCCTTAGAAATTTAAGCTTCTTCTCTAAAAATTCCCTTGAGAGTGATTTTTTGTTTTTAAGGAGAAGGACTATATTTGGGCTGAATTTAGAGTTATTTGTGATAAGCATTTCCCCCACATTTTTGCATTGTTTTTACAATAATCAAAGGAGATCATGAATGTATAACATACTTGTTTTTTCCATTTTGGAGCCTAGGTATGTAAGTGTCATGTGAACCATTGTGCTATGTAATGTTTACAGAGAAACTGAGTAAAAGACTATTATTGAGGCCATATTTACAACTTAATATTTCAGAGTTATCGAAATTGAAAACTTCCTCAATTTGAATTTATTACTCACTACCTATGTATATCTAGTTTGTACTGATGCTGTTAGATTCCTGATCCTCTAATGCAACTGCCTAGTGAGAGATTCATTCTTCACAATATTTTCATTGCAGAAGTGTTTGAAATACTAAGTAAAATGTCTAACAGCCTTTCCAATTTAGCATTTAAGAAAATTTGTGTTTTCTAGAATACTAACAGTTTCCCCCAAAAGGCAGATGGAAAGCTTTGTGCCTCGTAAGAGATGTACTATTTTAAATTGAACAAAGTTGTGCCATATTGTAGGCTTTTTATAAAATAGAAGGATAGAATGATCACTGCATTTCCCATGAGAACTATCCTGGGAAAATGCAGCTTGAGTTAGAAAGGCACTGTGACTCACATTTGAAAGGCTGGCCAAGATGACAAGCACATATGCCCATGAGAAGGGGCATGAGCAATGGTGGCTCAATTAGAATAGACCAACCATTAAAAGTTTTGGCCTCAAGTGAAACTAAAATAGGCTACACTTTATCCATTTGGAGAGCAATACAGGAGAGGAGTGCTTCTGCCAGGAACTGAGAAAGAAATAAAAGTCCCCAATACTATAAATTATCAGTGGTTAAGAACTTTTTAATGTGACATTTTGCTAAAAGACACTTATTAAACTGAAATGCTTATGAACTATGCAATTATATCTGTCCTATTATTTTTAAAATGTTATTAAAGGATATAAATACCTTGTTCCAAAGCCTCAAACTTGTAGATTCTTAAAAGTTTCCAGAATACTAACTACTGCCACACAGTAAGTGAATTTTAATCTAGTCACATGTGGCACCTTCTCTCTTTCTAAAGAGAGACTCCTTCATGCCTCATTTAAACCAGGCTCCTGTTAAATTCCTTTCCATTAAGTCATGTCTTTTTTGAATGAGCTACATGGCTTAAAGTTAGTCCACACACTAAAATACTGGAAGGAAGCTGGCGGTAGAAGGGCCAGAGAAATGATGACTATATTTTCATCTCTTACTCTCTTCTTTGACACATTCATCTAGTGATAGTCCAAACTTGTAGTTCCTAATTTTGATGATGAAAATGAGCTTTTGGGGCAGTAGGCTTGGTCTTCAAGGAAACTGATAAATTTCTGTCCAATCTGCACATCATTGTAGTGGCTTGTTACTGTATGCCCCAAGCATATACCCTGTACTCCCCTGACCTTGTTCACTCAACACAGGGACAGGCAGGAACTTCAGCTTCCTCTTTGACAGGAGAAAGGGTTGCAGAAATTGAAAAAAGCAATCTTGGCTTCAGAATCAGAAGACCTAGTTTTTGGATCCCTGGCTCTGCCACTTATCATTGTGTAGACTAGGGCAAGTCATTTAACCTCTCTGCTCCTCACTTTCCTCATGAATACAGTGGGGGCAGTAATAATGCTATTTATTATTGCCATATTTCTCTGAGGAGTTAAAGACATTGCATCAACCAAGGCAACAAAGGACTCAGACACCACTGTGTCAAGGAAGTAAGAATACATGGGATATAGCCCTGGGAAACACTTTCTGATGCTTTTGAGGTTGGGCCAGATTGGAGGACTATTCCAATGGCAGGAATTGGAGTTAATGCAGAGTTGAAGTAGGCATGATGTGACTGATTAATGGATGCAGTCCTTAAATATGGTTAATAATATACACAAAATAATAAAAGAATACATGATGAACATTTAAGCAAGAGTTTGGGTATTATCTAAAAGGATTGATAGAGAATTAGTTTATTCTTTTTCACAGTACTTTCATTAGAGTGTCGTTTAAATAGAAAAATCCTTTATATTTTTTCCTAGAGAATTTTAAGACAAAGAGAGCAAGTAGAAAAGTGAGCTTCTCAATTAAGTAGTAAGGATCATACTCTCTAAAGTTCTAAACTGAAAAAAAAAAAAAAAACTTGAAGCACAGAAGAAATAGAATGATCTCATTTAAGCACACAAAGAAACCCATTTTAAGGAGACCACCTACTACTTTACAGAAAAATACACATTCTCTCCTCTCTCTCTCTCTCTCTCTCTCTCTCTCTCTCTGTCTCTCTGTCTCTCTGTCTCTTGCTCTTTGACTATTGGCCTTCAAATGTATCTTCTTGGTAGCTGGTAGTCTAAAATGTTCAAGTTCAGTCTGTGAATCAGATGGTTTCCTAGACAAGCTTCACTGCTCACTTCATCCTTCAGCGTTTGTTTGCTTTTACTCTTATGGGTTGCTGTTCTTTGAGTTTCAATATTACTATTTTCTTAATGGGGCAAGTGTGTGTGTGTGTGTGTGTGTGTGTGTGTGAGAGAGAGAGAGAGAGAGAGAGAGAGAGAGAGAGAGAGGACGAAAGAGAATGCTCAGGTAAAAGCTGTTGCCTTTTATTTCCCAGGCTGAGACTTCTAGATTTATTTTCCCAGAAGAACTCTGAAAAATGTGAAGAGATGCTCCATGGTTTCTATTTCTGATCATAACTGAATCGTAGTATTTTAAATTGGGAAGGGAGAATAGAAATCACTGTCTCTGACCCCTTCCCTTTATGCAATTGAGGCCCATGAGGCCCAAGAATGTTCATGTTCCCACCAAGGTCACAACCTAGTGAGTGGCAGAACTGGGACCCGGAGCTGGAGCCTCCTAAGTGCCAGCTCCTTCCTTCCCACTGGTTACCCTTCCCTGCGCAATAAGCTACCCATCAGCTTGTGTCTTGCGGTGGACCAACTAGAAAACTAGAGACTTACTCATGTCTTTGTTGTCTCTATCAACAACTAAAATTTCACTGTTTTCTTCCCCTCCAATATTTCCTCTCAAAGCAAAAGAGCTGTGTCTGAACATCAGCTCCTCCATGACAAGGGGAAGTCCATCCAAGATTTACGGCGACGGTTCTTCCTCCACCATCTGATCGCCGAAATCCACACAGCTGAAATCAGAGCTACCTCGGAGGTGTCCCCTAACTCCAAGCCCTCTCCCAGCACAAAGAACCACCCCGTCCGATTTGGGTCTGACGATGAGGGCAGATACCTAACTCAGGAAACCAACAAGGTGGAGACGTACAAAGAGCAGCCGCTCAAGACACCCGGGAAGAAAAAGAAAAGCAAGCCCGGGAAACGCAAGGAGCAGGAAAAGAAAAAACGGCGAACTCGCTCTGCCCGGTTAGACTCTGGAGTGGCTGGGAGTGGGCTAGAAGGGGACCCAGTGTCTGACACCTTCGCAGCGTCGCTGGAGCTCCATTCACGGTAACAGGCTTCTCTGGCCCGTAGCCTCAGCTGGGTTTTGGAGCCTCCCTTCTGCCTTGGCTCGGACAAATCTAGACTTTTCTCCCTTTCTGTGTCTCTATCAATTTTGTAGCAATTGATAGAGAATAAGCCAGAATATTGTCTGCCTTCAAGCAGTACCCCCTACAACACACACACTCCTGTCCCCCAGCACCATGGAGAGGCTTTAGAGCCCATTCCTCTTTCTCCATCATCACCCAACATCCATCCTTTACCGTTCCACCAAATAATTTCATATTCAAGCTTCAGAAGCTAGTGACCATCTTCATAATTTGCTGGAGAGGTGTGTTTCTTCCCCCTACTCTCACACCTTGGCAAACTTTCTTCAGTGTTTTTCATTTCTTACTGTCTTTCACTTCAAGGGAGAACACAGAAGGCTTTTTTATATTATCTACAAACACTGCAGAACAGTATCTTCTCATAAACGATTCTGAGCCATTCACACTTTTTATTTAAGTGTATTTAATTAAATCTCAAATTTATTTTAATGTAAAGAACTTAAATTATGTTTTAAACACATGCTTTAAATTTGTTTAATTAAATTTAACTCTGGTTTCTACCAGCTCATGAATAATTAAATGATTTCTGAAAATGTTTAAGTATAACTTACAAGGATATAGGTTTTGCTCATGTATGTCTCTGTCCAGTGGCAAGATGAAATAGTTTTTCTAGGGTAATGCAGTAGGAAAAATAAAACTTCACATTTATGTGGCTTGTTTATTTTTAGCTCACAGATCTAGGTAATAATGACACTCCTAGACTTTGGGATCAAATAACTTAGGCTCAAGTCTTGGGTCTGAATTTATTTAAGTTCACAACCTAGAGAGAGTTACTCTGTCTAGTTTCTAAGATTCACTTACAACTTCCATGAAATGAAGATAATAATTGTACCAACCTCATAGAGTTTGGTGTTGACTAAATGAAATTATATATGGATTAATTATCTGTCATATAGTAAACACTCAATAAATTACAACATATTATTTTGGTGTTTTTAGACCTAGTTCTGATTGTACCATCTATCTATCTATCATCTATTTATATCTATCCATCTATCTATCTAGGTGGGTATATTTCTTTGAGGCAAATATTAATCTCATTATATAAAATAGAAAGCCAAGGCATTCCACCACTAAAAGTGTAATCCTTGGAATTGAAATAGGTAGGCCCAGAGCTGGATTGATCTCCCTATTTTCTGACACTTAGACCAATGCCGTGTTAGCCCTGCTTCTTTATCCATGCATTTCCATTGAGAGGATCTTTTTTTTTTCCTTTTTATTTCAGTACAGCACTTTTTTGGGGTTTGGAAAAAAAAGAGGGGGGAACAACAGAACACATCATATGCAACTAATGATCTCATCATCTAAAGGGTTCCCCGTTACTTCTTTAGTCATTTCCTTTAACTCTGCTACAGATAGAATTATAGGATGATGTTTCAAAGGGGAGCTTGAACCTATTCACCATTATTTCTCTCTTTAAGTTGGCAAACCCGTCATTAAATAGCACATAAAATAGCAATCTAATGGGATAAGTAGTACAGCTTCAGTAATCAATAGGCAGTGGCACTAGAAAAATCTTCAGCACAGTGAATGACCTATCCTCAAACATCTAATGGTTCTATAAAGGGTAACACACCCTATAAATTCTGGCTTACTTCACATAGTTAGTGTATTTTAAGACAGGATCCTAACTGTATATATTTATAACTAATGCAAGGACCCTACTTTATTGCCAAATCCTATTTTTATCCATTGTCTTATTATACACATGAGCTATAAAAACAGAGGTATAAATAACTTTCGATGGATTTTGTTCATTTCAAATTTGCAATGCTCTTTAAGCATCTGGAGAATTGATGAAAATTAATACTCGTCAATTCTTATGCCTGAACCTACCCCTAAGTTAAAGTAGGTCTAGTAAAAATTAGGCAGTGGCCTAATCAAATCCAGACTTAGGGCTGAAAGAAATAGGAGGTTTCTGCTTTTCCTTTCTCTTCCCTGTTTGTGAGGGACATTCATGGAAAGAACTGTTCAGCAGCCAAATGTTGGCACTCCCCCAACACAATCCAACAGAGGTGCAGGGAAGAGTGAGGAAGTTTAGGAGTGCATTGATGAGGATGTCTGGGGCCATGCAAATTTTATAATCCAAATAAAATAGTTTCAGAATAACTATCTTAAAGTTTTATAAGTGACAAGTCTTTTATTAACAACCCCTCCCTCCTTAGTTTTTTTGCATTATTACATGATGAACCAAGAGGTCTGATGAGATGGCAAGCATGAAGTTAATTATAATACATACAGTATTTTGAAAAAAAATAGAGTTGTTTTTTATTTGTTTGTTTGTTTGTTTTTTTTGAGACAGAGTCTCACTCTGTTGCCCAGACTGGAGTGCAATGGCGCAATCTCGGCTCAGCACAAACTGTGCCTCCCAAGTTAAAGAGATTCTCCTGCCTCAGCCTCCTGAGTACCTGGGATTGCAGGCACCCACCACCATGCCTGGCTAAGTTTTGTATTTTTAGTAGAGGTGGGTTTTCACCATGTTGTCCAGGCTGGTCCTGAACTCCTGACCTCAGGAGATCTGCCCTCCCCAAAGTGCTGGGATTACAGACATGTGCCACCACACACCCGGCCAATAATACAGTATCTTTTTAGAAAAAAACTGCTGAGATAAAATTGTCTGTTTTCCTCTCACATGACCATTCAGTGGAAAATACATAGCTTGAAATTGGGGGAATTTTATTTCAGAATTTTCGCTGTTACAAACAAGATATCCCAATACAGTAGGACTCATTTGTTAGAAATCATATCATTTTGCCTTGGAAAATACTGATTTAGAAAAATATTGGAAGTCCATAGTCAAAAGGGCTAAGACTGTAGAATGTTGTCATATGCACACACATAGAGTAAACATACACATATACTTTTAGGTCATATTAGATGTTTTACTTGGCTATTCCAATACATGCCTTTGTTAAAGGAGAAATCTAAAGGAAGGAAAAGGAAAAAACATCTGGGTTGGTGAGATGTACGTAGATTTTTCATTGGTCCTTTAACTTATTTCTTTTTTCTTTCTTTCTGAGGAAATAATTATTCAAAATCCTCTTCATTCCCTCTGTGTTATTCTTAAATCCAACTCACAAAATGCCATTTAGCACAAATACATTTAAAAATCAGCAGAGTATGGCAATTATTGAGCTTTGAGGTCATCGTTTTGGCTTTATTCATATCATCTATCCGCATCCATCCACCAATTAGACTTTTAATCTTAAACCCTTCTTTTCTCTGCAGCTGGGAGCAATTCTAACATTCCCACCAAAACCATTGGTGAAGAGGTCAGTAACTTCAGACATTAAAACACTCTAAATGCTCAATTTGCTTTTTTTGTAAGCTGCACAGAAAACTCCAAGATGGTTAAGACTATGCTGTTGTGTAGGTCTCACACCCATACATGTCTGCCATGTAAAACTCTACCACAACTCTGGCTGTCAATTCCATGACATAGCCAATCAAATTCCATTCTATAGTTGTTTCTTTGGGAATGAATACAAAGTCACTTGAACAGACCATAAAAAGAGGAGGGAAAGAGAGAGAAAAAAGTAGAGAAAACTCTGCTAACCCATCTTAAAATACTGTCATTACAGTATTTAGATAGATTAGAAAAGGTGTCCGTCTCAGGTAGTAATTTCAGAATAATAAAAGAGACATGGTGATATGAAATACTGCTTTATGCTTTTAAATTAATTTATTCTTATTCTCTCATTTACAGTAGACTTTCCCAATGCTAACAAAAAATCCATTCAAAAAACCAACAGAGTGAGAGACAGATGATTCTATTTCAGTTTTGGCTTTGAAAACTATTATAAAATCCAGTTAGTGTTTATAAAATTCATTAGTGTTTAAAGACAACGAAAGAAATGCCAGATATCATCATCTCATCGACTAAAACGGGTATCATCACACCATCACAATTCTATTTAACTACACATTCTTCCAGTCGTTACCAATGTCCCACACTTCCACTACCCTCACCACAGTCCACTATGTTGTGAGAGACTGACCAATTAAGCACCTGAACCAAATAAACAAGCTTTGCATTGCCTAAGTCAGGTGTCACTGGGGAATGAACTTCCAAGTGAATTGTATCTGATGGTCCAACCTAACCTTATTTCCAAGTTCTCAAATTTGTCCCTTCTCTTCCCAAACTTGCCATCTGGCAGCCTTGGAAAATTCTTCCAGGGTTCCCTTTTTCTGATAGCATGATTGGAAATGCAGGCCCTTTTCCTTTTTGCACACATGGACTAAGTTGGGTTGAAGACCCTGCCTATAACAGAGGTTACAGGGATCCAGGTGGATCTTACAAGCACCTCCTGTAGGAAATATTTACAAGAAGTTCCCTGAATCTCTTTCCATTGTGATTCCGTGTGGCTTAGCTTATAACCTTTATATTTTATGTTTTCATTTGTGAAGGAAGTTAACCTTTCTCCTTTTCTTTCTCTTCCTTATTTTTGCAGGAGGCATTGAAATTTTCAGCAGAGACCTTCCAAGGACATATTGCAGGATTCTGTAATAGTGAACATATGGAAAGTATTAGAAATATTTATTGTCTGTAAATACTGTAAATGCATTGGAATAAAACTGTCTCCCCCATTGCTCTATGAAACTGCACATTGGTCATTGTGAATTTTTTTTTTTTTGCCAAGGCTAATCCAATATTATTATCACATTTACCATAATTTATTTTGTCAATTGATGTATTTATTTTGTAAATGTATCTTGGTGCTGCTGAATTTCTATATTTTTTGTAACATAATGCACTTTAGATATACATATCAAGTATGTTGATAAATGACACAATAAAGTGTCTCTATTTTGTGGTTGATTTTAATTAATGCCTAAATATAATTATCCAAATTGATTTTCCTCTGTGCATGTAAAAATAGCAGTATTTTAAATTTGTAAAGAATGTCTAATAAAATGTAATCTAATTGCATCATGACTCGGAGAGTGAATTATATCCTTTAAGATTTCTAGTAGAAGGAACATGATAGGGTTTTTTTGTAAAGCTATTGGAATACAGTCTTAACATAATATGTTTACATTCCGCATTCCAATAATTCTACATTAGCTTTTAGTTAAAAACAACTTAAAATGTATTTTGTCCAATATTTCAGTTCAAGTCAACAGCATGGCTGAACTACCTACATGTAATTTTATAAAGTACATTCAATTTGAAGTTCAGACAGGAGTGGGCAGAAAAGAAGCAGGAAGAAATCAAGAGAAAGGATTAAAGAAATTGAGTCCAGAAGGTTGGCTAGAGCTAGAAAAAAGGGAAAGAAGCCAGTCAGGGACTATAAGATCATGGGTAATTTTAGCCAATGTAAAGGGTAATTTAAGAGATTTTGCTCCTACTAGTAACAATAATACTAAGCATAAAATAGCTACTTGAGAATACTCTCTAGAAAGACTCAAGTTTGGGAGCTAGGTAACTGCTCGAAAAGCTCCCAAAGGTGAGCATTGCTTTCCTGTGGTATCACAGGTGCTGGAATTCTAGTTGCAAGCATCTTGAGTGTGATGCCATGTGAAGTCTCTTTTGTATATTTTTTTTAACTTTTAAGTTCAGGAAAACATGTTACAGAGGTAAACATGTCATCAGGGGTTGTTGTACCAAGTATTTCATCACCCAGGTATTAAGCCTAGTATCCATTAGTTATACTCTCCACTCTCCAATAAGCTTCAGTGAGTGTTGTTCCCCTTTATGTGTTCATGTGTTCTCATCGTTTAGCTTCCACTTGTAAGTGAGAACATGTGGTATTTGGTTCCTCTATTAGTTTGCTAAGGACAATGGCCTCCAGCCCCATCCATGTTCCTGCAAAGGACATGATCTCATTCTTTTTTATGGCTGCATAGTATTCCATGGTGTATATGTACCACACTTTCTTTATCCTGTCTATTGTTGGTGGGCATTTAGGCTGATTCCATGTCTTTGCTATTGTCAATAGTGCTTCAATGAACATATGCCTGCATGTGTCTTTATAACTGAACAATTTATATTCCTTTGAGTATATACCCAGTAATGGGATTGCTGGGTTGAATGGTATTTCAATCTTTAGGTCTTCAAGGAATTGCCACACTGTCTTCTACAATGGCTGATTTAATTTACACCCCCACCAACAGTGTATAAGCGATCCTTTTTCTCCACAACCGCATCAGCATCTGTTATTTTTTGTTTACTTTTTTTTATTCTTATACTTTAAGTTCTGGGATACATGAGCAGAACGTGCAGGTTTGTGACATGGGTTACACGTGCCATGGTGGTTTGCTGCACCTGTCAACACGTCATCTGTATTTCTCCTAATGTTATCCCTCCCTGGCTCCCCTGCCCCTTGGGCCCCAGTGTGTGATGTTCCCCTCCCTGTGTCCATGTGTTCTCACTGTTCAACTCCCATTTATGAGTGAGAACATGCAGCATTTGGTTTTCTGTTCCTGTGTTAGTTTGCTAAGAATGATGGTTTCTAGCTTCATCCATGTCCCGGCAAAGGACATGAGCTCATCCTTTCATATCCTGTTCATGTACTTCACCCACTTTTTGATGGGGTTCTTTTTTTAAAAGTTCTTTGTAAATTCTGGATATTAGCCTTGTCAGATGGATAGCTTGTAAAAATTTTCTCCCATTCTGTAGGTTGCCTGTTCACTCTGATGATAGTTTATTTTGCTGTGCAGAAGCTCTTAAGTTTAATGAGATCCCATTTGTCAATTTTGGCTTTTGTTGTCATTCCTTTTGGTGTTTTAGTCATAAGTATTTGCCCGTGCCTATGTCCTGAAAGGTATTGCCTAGGTTTTCTTCTAGGGTTTTCATGGTTTTAGATCTTATGTTTAAGTCTTTAATCCATCTTGAGTTAATTTTTTGTATAAGATGTAAGGAAGGGGTCTAGTTTCAGTTTTCTGCTAGCCAGTTTTCCCAGCATCACTTATTAAATAGGGAATCCTTTCTGCATTGCTTGTTTTTGTCAGGTTTATCAAAGATTGAAGGGTTGCAAATGTGTGGCATTATTTCTAAGGCCTCTGTTCCATACCATTGGTCTATATCTCTGTTTTGGTACCAGTATCATGCTGTTTTCATTACTCTAGCCTTATAGTATAGTTTCAAGTCAGGTAGCGTGATGCCTCCAGCTTTGTTCTTTTTGCTTAGGATTGTCTTGGCTATACAGGCTCTTTTTTGGTTCCATATGATATTTAAAGTTTTTGCTAATTCTGTGAAGACAGTCAATGGTGGATAGCACTGACAAAAGGATAGCACTGAATCTATAAATTACTTTGGGTGGTATGGCCATTTTCACAATATGGATTCTTCCTATCCATGAACATGGAATGTTTTTCCATTTTTTTGTGTCCTCTTTTATTTCCTTGAGCAGTGTTTGTAGTTCTCCTTGAAGAAGTCCTTCACATCCCTTGTAAGTTGTATTCCTAGGTATTTTATGTTCTTTGTAGCAATTGTGAGCCAATCACTCATGATTTGGCTCTCTGTTTGTCTGTTTTTGTTGTATATAGGAATGCTTGTGATTTTTGAACATTGATTTTATATCTTGAGACTTTGCTGAAGCTGTTTATCAGCTTAAGAAAATTTTGGGCTGAGACAAGGAAGTTTTCTAAATATACATTTATGTCATCTGCAAACAGAAACAATCTGACTTCCTCTCTTCCTATTTGAATACCTTTTATTTCTTTCTCTTACCTGATTGCCCTGGCTAGAACTTCCAATACTATGTTGAATAGGAGTGGTGAGAGAGAGCATCCTTGTCTTGTGCTGGTTTTCAAAAGGAATGCTTCCAGCTTTTGCCCATTCAGTAAGATATTGGCTGTAAGTGTTTGTCATAAATAGCTCTTATTATTTTGAGATATGTTCCATCAATACCTAGTTTATTGAGAGTTTTTAGCCTGAAGAGGTGTTGAATTTTATCAAAGGTCTTTTCTGCATCTATTGAGATAATCATGTGGTTCTTGTCATTGGTTGTTTATGTAATGGATTATGTTTATTGATTTGTATATGCTGAACCAGCTTTGCATCCCAGGGATTAAGCTGATTTGATTGTGGCAGATAGGTTTTTGATGTACTGCTGGATTCAGTTTGCCAGTATTTTATTGAGGATTTTTGTATTGATGTTCATCAGGGATGTTGGCCTGAAATTTTCTTTTTCTGTCGTGTCTCTGTCAGATTTTGGTATCTGGATGATGCTGACCTCATAAAATGAGTTAAGGAGGAGTACCTCTTTTTTCTATTCTTTGGAATAGTTTCAGAAGGCATAGTACCAGCTCATCTTTGTACCTCTGGTAGAATTTGGTTGTAAATCCATCTGGTCCTGGGCTTTTTTTGGTTGGTAGGCTATTAATTACTGCCTCAATTTCAGAACTTGTTATTGGTCTAGTCAGGGATTTAACTTCTTCCTGGTTTAGTCTGGGGAGGGAGCGTATGTGTCCAGGAATTTATCAGTTTCTTCTAGATTTTCTAGTTTATTTGTGTATAGGTGTTAATAGTATTCTCTGATGGTAGTTTGTATTTCTGTGGGATCAGTGGTGATATCCTCTTTATCATTTTTTATTGTGTCTATTTGATTCTTCTCTCTTTTCTTCTTTATTAGTCTGGCTAGAGGTCTATTTATTTTGTTAATCTTTTCAAAACACCAGCTTTTGGATTCACTGATTTTTTTTTGAAGAGTTTTTTTGTGTGTCTCTATCTTCTTCAGTTCTGCTCTGATCTTAGTTATTTCTTGTCTTCTGCTAGCTTTTGAATTTTTTTGCTCTTGCTTCTCTAGTTCTTTTAATTGCGATGTTAGAGTGTGGATTTTAGATCCTTCATGCTTTCTCCTTTGGGCATTTAGTGCTATAAATTTCCCTGCAAACACTGTTTTAGCTGTGTCCCAGAGATTCTGGCACATTGTGTCTTTGTTCTCACTGGTTTCAAATAACTTATTTATTTCTGCCTTAATTTTGTTCTTTACCCAATAGTCATTCAGGAGCAGGTTGTTCAATTTCCATGTAGTTGTGTGGTTTTGAATGAGTTTCTTAATCCTGAGTTTCAATCGATTATACTGTGGTATGAGAGACTGTTATAATCTCTGTTCTTTTGCATTTGCTGAGGAGTGTTTTACTTCCAATTATATGATCAATTTTAGAATAAGTGTGATGTGCTGCGAAGAAGAATGTATATTCTGTTGATTTGGGGTAGAGAGTTCTGTAAATGTCAGTTAGGTCCACTTGGTCCAGAGCTGAGTTCAAGTTCTGAATATTCTTGTTAATTTTCTGTCTCATTGATGTGTATTTTTTGACGTTTGAATATCCTCCTAGTGGTTCCTACCGTTATGTTCAGATGAAAACATGAACACATTTCCTTCTACAGATCTGTTTTCTTTACTGTCTGCAGCTTAGGACACATCAGTGAAAAACAAAACAAAAGAACTATGAATCAACCAAGTGCATATTGAGGAAGTATTCTATTAATGCCCAGTATCCTGATGGATGTCTATTAGGTGTTTGGGGGGTGCACAAGAAGTAAAATGCCTTTAAGAGCCTTTTACTCCAGTGGGTAGATTATACCACACATATAAATGAAACAACTAAATGCTGAAATGATCAAAAATCCTATGGATACCTAGAAAAGGGGAAAAAGCACATAGGGAGAGATTAGGATAAGCTGAGTGTAAGTAGAATTATGTTTCTGGGAAGACTGTTCTAAGATTGAATTTACACTTTCACTTAAGTCCCATAGTCTTCAAAATCGGTCTTATTTGGCTATTGAAAAAAAAAATGTAAGCCTACATTAGTAGGCAAATAAGGAAACTTGTGCTTAGCTTCACTTAAAAATTTGTTAGAAATGGTTTAACAACTAAGGACTCTTTACAGGTTTAAGGTCAATACACTAAGGCTGCATAAAGCAAGTGGTTTGCAGTGCCTTAAAAACAGACATAACCACATTTTGCAAAACTCTATGAAGCAGTTTT